TGTGTGAGTGTATGTGCGTGCACTCTCTCTGTGTGTGAGTGTATGTGCGTGCACTCTCTGTGTGTGTATGTGCATGCACTCTGTGTGAGTGAGAGTATGTGCGTGCACTCTCTGTGTGTATGTGCGTGCACTCTCTGTGTGAGTGTATGTGCGTGCACTCTCTGTGTGTGAGTGTATGTGTGTGCATTCTCTGTGTGTGAGTGTATGTGCGTGCACTCTCTGTGTGTATGTGCGTGCACTCTTTCTGTGTGAGCTTTCATGGCACATGAATGAGGAGAGAGTCACAGCTCACCCTGTGTGGCTCTTTCTGCTCTCTTGCCTCAGTTTCCCAGCCTGCATTGCAGTGGGTACCAGTTGCAGGTCCCTGGAGAAATCCCGCGTCATGCTTTACCCCTGGTCTGTGAGGGGCATGGTGATGCTCTCCTGGGGAGGTGATGGCCAGGTCAGCTGAGCTGCCAGAGCTGTCTTCTGGATGGGACCAGGGTCCCCACTGTAGGAAAGTGGAAGTTCAGACACAGAGGGGTGATGGGGCTTCCCAAGATTACATAGAGTTGGGGTACAGAGGTCATTTGGGGGAGATGGGTTGAATGATGCTAAGATGTCAATGGACTTCCTGCTGGTCTGGCCTCTGGAACTCAGGGTGCAGGTTTCCTGCAGGCCTGTGCTCTTAGACTTGGGGTGTAGGTTTCCTGCAGCCCTGTGCTCTGATAGTTGGGATACAGGGTTTCCAGGTAGCCTGTGCTCTGGGACTTTGGGTTCAGGGCTTCCTGAGGACCTGCACTCTGGGACTTGGAGTACAAGGTGAGCTGAGCAGCCTCTCCAGCGCTTGGCTCCAGCCCTGGGTGGAGATGGGAAGTCTTCAGCCTGTCCTGCCCTCCTCCCTCTGCCCAGGAGTGCACCCAGCAGACACAGGTGCTTCCATGGGCCAGAGGGCAAGGGAGCTGGGCAGTGGGGAGAGGGACGTACATCAGTGGGAAGGGGTCAGCTGCAGGTGCGAAGGCCCCGAGACGGACAGCACCAGGAGGGAGGGCAGGGTGGAAGGAGAGTGAGGGGTGAGGAGGACCTGAGAACAAATGAGGCCTCTTGTTGAAAGTGAATAATGCATCTGCCCAACAAAGCAGGTTCTGGCTGGGCCCCAGTGAGCAGCTTCTGCGCTAGGCCTGTGTACTCCCCTGCACTGTCTCCTCTGTAAACATCTCAGTGACCAGGGACCCTGCTTTTGCACCAGGCAGAGGTGGGACTGTGTGTGAAGGGTCCTGATACCCCTACACTTGCCTGGTCCTTTCACACACCTGTGCCCTCTCTTTCTTATTCAAACAAATGTTTGTTTTAGTGATTAGGTTTCAGGGCTAGATTTGCTTTCAGAGATGTTTTACAGATGGTTTATAGTGAAGGTGCAGAGACAGAGGATAGCTTCTGTATTCTGGGGACCTCCCGCACTCCGCTCTTCCTTTCCCTCCCTGGAAATGTCCGATATTACATAGTGGCTGTAATGAGTAATCTTCTGGCTGTTAACAGAGAGGTCCACAGTTCAGCCCACGCAGGGGCCCCGCTGAGCTGCTTCTGTGAAGATGGCAGCATTGGGACCCCCGTGGGCCAGTGCTGCCGTATCACGCAGTAATTATCGGCCAGCACTGATGCGATGGCACCCAACAACAGCAAACAGGTCACCGAAGGTGCTGAACCAACTCTACATCCTTTCTGGGTTTCATTCACTGTCCCCTAATGTCCCCAGGACCCCACACTCCGTCCTGTCCTGTGTCCTCTGAGCTGTGATCATTTCCTGGAGTCTTTGAGACCTGGGCAGCAGGAGGTGCTGGCCAGGGGCCAGAGGTCCCTCCGCGTGTGATGAAGGCTTTCTCATGGATTTCCTGGGGTGCTGGGCAGGAAGACCTTAGAGGTGAGCTGACTTCTCATTCTTATTGGCTCTGGGCCTGAGGAGCTGCTGCCAGGGAGTGGTCTGGGAGTGGCGAGAGGGGAAGCAGGGGGCCCTCACTGGGTGGAGGAGACAGGGCTGGCCGCTGGGCTGGCAGAGGAGAGTCAGAGTCTCAGGAGCAGGGCAGGACTTGTGTGAGGACAGGAGGAGGAGGGAGATTGGGGTGAGAGGTCAGTGATCAAAGTGGGGGTTGGTTGTGAGGTTGAGGAGTGCGCCGAGCCTGGACCTGGTTGCTCCCAGGGATGGGGGGCTCACTACACGTCGAGGATGGTTTGTGGATTTCTGGAGTTTGGGTCCAGAGCGCTTGGCCATCCCTGCTGTAGGCACTTTGGGTGGGTGGGTGGCAGATCCTGGGTCTGCAGGGCCTCAGAAGGGCTATGGGCGGAGGGCAGGGTGGGAGCTGGGCCTGGCCCCTCACACTGTACCCTCATATGAAGGCTCTGGACACTCCTCCACTGTTGGTGGGGAGCACACACCCATGTGTCTGGTGTCCCTGTAATTAATTCATCAGGCACCATGCTGAGAGCCTGATGAAGCTCAAGTGTTTAATTACAAACTTCTATGTCACGATGCACTTTAATTACCTCGGGCTGGAGTGCAGGTTGCACAGGCCTCCTCCCGCCTGCACTGCCCCCACGTGCTTCCAGGCTCCTCTCGAGCAGCTCGAGCTGTCAGGGGCCTTGGACAATGGGGAGCAGGTGGCCCCCAAGGGCCAGGTGCCCCAGCCCCTCCTCTCTGTGGATGTGGACAGAGCTGTCTGAGCCCACCTTCCATAACTGAGGTCGCTGTGGGTCCATGTGGTCTCTGGGGGTCTCTGTTGTCACTGGGGGTCTCTGGTCACTGGAGGTTTGTGTGGTTCTGCAGGTCCGTGTAGTCACGGGGATTCTGTGTGGTCACGGGGATTCTGTGTGGTCACTGGGGGGGTCCATGAGATCATGGGGGTTCTGTGTGGTCACTGGGGGTCCATGTGGTCAATGTGGCTCTGGGGTCCGAGTGGTCACTGGGTGTCTGTGTGGTTCTGATGTGCTGATGCACTTGTGTCTCCTGTTCCAGGGCAGCGTCCACCTCAAAGAGGCAGCAGAACCCATGAAGAAGACCTGGCCTCCTGGGAGGACCTGTAGTCCCGACTGCAGCTTGATCCTTATTCATAAACTGAGGCTAATGGCTTTAGAGGCCCACCACCAGTGCTCTGAAACAGTGTGGTGTCCACCACACACTTGGCTTTTACCTATCTGTTAATCATTCTTCCATCTACCAACAGCCATCCACCATCTATCCAACATCCATCCATCCATCCATCCATCCATCCACCATCCATCCTCTATCCACCCACCCACCCATCCATCCATCCACCCATCCACCCATCCATCCATCCATCCACCCAGCCACCATCCATCCATCCATCCATCCATCCATCCATCCATCCATCCTTCATCCATCCATCCATCCTTCATCCATCCATCCTTCATCCATCCATCCATCCATCCATCCATCCATCCTTCATCCATCCATCCATCCATCCATCCTTCATCCATCCATCCTTCATCCATCCATCCTTCATCCATCCATCCATCCATCCATCCGTCATCCATGTATCCAACATCTGCTCACACAAATTCATTCATCCAATGAGTTATCCATCTAACCACCCATCTATCTATTCACCCACCTACTCCTCCACTTATCCACCCACCTATCCCTTCACCTATCCATTCATGCATCCATTTGCCTATCCACACATCCTTCTATTATCCACCCATTCATATACCTACCCATTCACCTTTCTATCCATCCACCTTCCCACACATTCTTCCATTATCCATTCATTCATCCACCTACCTATCCATCTATTCAACCGTCTTTCCATTATACGTCCATCCACTCACCTCCCCATTCTTCCATTACCCCTCCATCCACCTATTCATTCACCCATCTATCCACCTACCCACCCATCCTTCCATTATCCATTCATTCATTCATCTACCCATACACTTATCCATCGACCTACCCAGCCATCTGTCCACCATTCTTTCCATTATCCACCCACCTAGACATCCACCATCCTTCTATTATCCACCCATCCATACACCTACCCATCCACCCATCTGCCCACTTACCTATCCATCCATCCATCCATCCATCCACCTTTAAACTGACATCATTGTTCTCCAGGACTTTGAGGAGGTCTCGACTGCAGACTTTTTCAAAATTATGTTTCCTGATCTCCTGATGCAGGAACCAAGGAACCAACTTGTAGACCTATGTTGGAAGAAATCACTGACAATTTCAATCTTTTCTCCATTTATCATGGTGTTGCCTATTGGCCCAGTGGTGAGGACTTTTGTTTTCTTGATGTTGAGAAGCAATCCATATTGAAGGCTGTAGTCCTTGATCTTCTGCAACAAGTGCCTCAAGTCCTCTCTTTCAGTGAGCAAGATTGTTATTTGCATGATACAGACTGTTGATGAGTCTTCATCTAATCCTGACCACACACTCTTCTTCATAAGGTCCAGTTAGTTCCAACTCTTAGTGCCCCCCCCCCCAAACGCTGCCTGGCCCTGCTTGTGCTGACCTCGGGCCTCTTTGAGCCCATTGCTGCAGCTGCTGTCAGAGCACCGTGGTGACGGTCTTCTTCTCCTCCCTGAGTCTCTGCTTTACCAGGCCTGATATCCTTCTCCGGGGACTGATCCCTTCTGGGGACACCCAAAGTAAGCGAGGTCGAGGTAGAGACATCCTTGTTTCTAAGGACTTCCACAGGCAGAGAGGCTGAAGCTAGGCCAGGCAGTGTCCAAGCAAGGCTTCCTTGGCTCGTCCAGGTGTGGACTGCCCTGAGGGGTCTTTGGCTGTGGTCACCCCAGTCTCTGCCTCTGTGGTCACTCAAGAGTGACCTTCCTTCGTGAATTTGTCTCTCCTCTTCTAAAGGGACACGTTCTGGTGGGGTAGGAACTGGCCCTCCTCCAGTGACCCCATCCTGACCGGCAGACCTGTTTCCTTTTCAGGTATTGGGGTGGCGCTCTGGGCACAGTTTCTGGAGAACACAGGTCAGTCGTGGTAGCCAGTAAAGTGCTCACTGGACTGTGACAAACCAAGTTGCAGGAACGCAGCCAGGATGCTCTTTGGAAGTGGGGACGGGAGATCAAAGCTGTGGACGCATCCTCAGGAGGGGCCAGGCCAGCCTCTGGGAGGACACCATGCTTGGTGCAGTAGGACATAGACCCTCAGCAGGACGACCTAGCGCCATGACTGTGACAGTGCCCACGGCTAGTGGGAGGCTTTGTTCTGTGTGTGTGCAAGGCACCAGATGACTGTCCTCAAGGTGGCCTCCACTTCTCACACTTGACCTGAAGCGCCTGGCAACCATAGAGAGGTGGGACTGGGTGGGGCGGGGCCTGGGGAAGGCGTGACCCTGGAAGGCGAGGCCTGAATAGGCGTGGTCAGGGGAAGGCGTGGCCAGGAGAGGCGTGGCCTCAGGTTCCATCCGCACTGGGTCCTCCTTCCCGGGCTGGAAGCGAGCGGCTGGCAAGTGGAGCTGTGGTGGTTCCTAAACAGCTCGCGGACGGGCAGCAGGTGGGTGGGGTGGTGGGCAGGTGGGCAGCGGGCACAGGCCAGGCGGGCAGCAGGTGGGTGGGGCGGTGGGTGGGCGGGTGCACCGGGCTCCTGGGTGCCTCTGTGCCCAGCTTGCAGCCCAGCCCAGCACACATTGTCCACCCGCCCGCATGCCTCGAAGATGCGCGCACAGGCCTGCGTAGCCCAGCTGCCCACGCCCCGCGGACTCACTGCTTCAGGTGGTCTCTGCCTTTGAACTGGCGCAGGCTCTGGGGTACCTGGGACCCCTCATCCGCAGCACCACTGGCCTCTTCACAGCGTGTGGCAGAGCAGCGGGCTGTCAGGGTGTGGGTGCTGAGCTGGAGGGGTGCACAGCGCAGGACACTGGGGGTCCCTGGAGGGGTGACAGCAAAGGCAGCCATGGCACCGTCCCTACTGCATGGTGGGACAGGGGCCTTGTTATTTCAGGCTGATCTCGGCCTGGTGGGAGCGCTGTTTCCCGTGCAGGGACCTGCAGGCTCCCCCCACTACTCCCGGTCAGTCATCTGGGTCTGAGGACTATTTATTTCTGGGGTCCAACGGCTTAAGTGAGTCCCTTCAAAGACCAGGATGGGACCCGAGGGGTCCAGAAGGGCCCAGCCCAGCCACCAATCACTGTGATGTGGAGACAAGCCGTCTACCTCTCTGTGCAGGCTGTCTGAAGCATCATCGAGTCCCCCCTCCCCCAGCCCAGGCCCACGTGCCCCAGAGGTGGGGAGGCAGGTCTGAGCTCTGCTTTTCACCTCCAAGGGCCTCAACTGCCCCACCTGCTCCATGGGGTCACAGGGCCGAGGGCAGACATACCAGGAGAGGACGGGGCCGGGGTCGTGGCAGGGGCCTCGTCCCTACATGCGTGTGCAGAGGTGTTGCCGTCACTCACTCCCGGGAAGACCACCCGCCCACTCACACACGCGCCTGTGTACACACCCGCCCGACTCACAGGCCCCTAAAGCAGTTTATCGTGCAGGTCAACAGCTTGCATTGTCTGCTCTGCGGAATTGTTCAAACACCCCGGATACGCGGGAAACACTCCTTTAATTAGATCCTGCCGAACCCGACACACGAACAAAAAATATTAATATCAAGCGCGCAGCACCGAGTGCAGTTTACACAGATCAGAGAACATTTTGGGTGCAAAGAGGTGGTGCGTGTGACAGGTTACTTTACAACTTGAGGACGCGCTCACGTGATGCTGCCAGCTCCAGGCTGGGGGTGGGGGTGGGGAGGGAGACTGGACCAGGAGGGGGCCCAGGGTCAGCTGAGGCCCAGAGCTGGCGGGGGAGGGGGGCGTGTGACTGGGGAGGGCGAGGAGGGCGAGGTGGCCAGGGCGTGACGGTGGGTGTTACTGCTGTTATCTGAGCACTTACTACCCACTGGGCACGGGGAGTGAGGACAAAGCTGCACTCTGCACCCTCTGCCCTGGGCCCCTGTTTACTCACAGACAGACCTTATTTATTGCTTCTCACGGATACTGTTTTCGGGTTTTTCCTACTGAAGGAGGTGGGTGGCAGCTCTGAGGCAAGCGAGTCCGTCTGCTTGGCTTCCTGACGGCATGCGTGCACTCTGCGTAACTGTGCCTTGCGGGTCATTCTTGAAATATCTGAAACTTTTCTGTCTTGTGACTGCACACTCCATAGACAAGAGGGGCCCACTCTCCAAGCTGATTGTGGCTCATGGTGACCACCCTCCGTGGGTTTCTGAGCTGTCAGTCTGCGTGGAGGGGTCTGTCCAGAACTGCTGATGTTAGTTAGAAGTTGGACATGTTATACGCCATGCCACGGAGCTCCTTCATATAAACAGACTGTCTCTGCGCCCTGAGAAACAAACTCCAAAACAAATTCATGTGACTTGATTTACTATAATATTCAAGTTATTGTGTCTGTTTGGAATAGAACTCAAAATATCTCCAAGATCTGCATTTTCATGTAAATTTTCTGATGACCTTTGCAGAGACAGAAGATGGCGTAGTGTGTCGGGCTGTTAGCTGAAGGTTGGTGCTTGGAGACCACCAGCTGCTTCCCAGGAGGAAGACAGGGAGTCTGCAGGTGTTGGTCTGTGGCCTGGGAGACCCGGGGGTGGCTGAATGGGCTCAGAATCCACTTGACAGTGATGGATTTGGCCTGGCTTTTGTTGAGATGTGATCTACATACAGTCCAATCCTTTCTCACAAAGTACA